AAATTTGGTTTGTCTAATTCAAACCATCTCTGAGGAACAGAGTCAAATGTAAAACGTGTTGCAACCGTCCCCGGCTACTTTTCCACTAACAAATAAATTGTTAAATTTACAGAAGAAAACTGGCTCCACAAAACCAAGTTGGTTAAATTGGTCAATTTATTTAAAATAAAATACAAATATCACCTCAGATTTACTCCGTTAGGTTTAGTGTAAATAACTGATATGATTTAGTCGAGTAAATTCAACACTTTAATTTTTTAGAGCACATAAACAACTCCTTTCATGATGAGTTCAGACAGATTTAATTTATAACAAGTAACTAGGTGTTAAACTTTAAATAAGTAAAAGTTTCATTTTTAGGTTTTAAAAGTAACTAAGTAAAAGTCTAAAAGTTTTAAGAAATACTTGGTAAAATTACAAATCCTCAAAAAATTACTTAAGTACTGTAACAAAGTAAATGTACTTAGTTACTGTAACCAAACAAAACAGGCTTTTATTTTGAAAGGGTTGAAGCTAACAAAAAGGGGTTTACTATAAACCAAGACAGGTTTTATTAATCCAGGTGTGCTTAGTCCGGTCCTGGAGCAACGAGTCCAGGAGGAAGACCCGGGTCTCCTTTAGACCAGAGATGATCAGGGTTCTGGGTCCGACCCGGGCTGCAGGTCCACGCTGGACTCAGAACTCCTCACCTGTCATCCACACCTCGTGACCTCAGGTGACCTCAGGTGAACCAGTACTGAGACTTGGCTCAGCTCAGCTGCCTTCACCGGTCAGACCGGATCAACTCCCTCATTACTGCAGACGGGTCAGTACCAGAAGGCCTGATACGGAACCACAGACCCAGTCTCTGGTCCTGGTCTTAGTTACATCCGAGTCAGCACCTTCCTGTGATAAACAGACCCTGACAGGTAGGCCAGACTCGAACCGGACCGGTACCAAGTGACACCTTCATCAAGTGAAACCCAGACCCTGTCCTCACAAACCCAGATCCAGTCTCCGAGCTCAGCCCGAACCCACCCGGGAGTGTGTTGGACCGGTTTAACGGGACTCGCGGCTCGGTTCTTACCCAGGGAGTGATCCTCTTTGAACATCCATTTCATGTTGGCCGGTTCGGTTCGGTTCGGTTCGGCTCGAAGCAGCAGCTTTCAGACTGGACTCCCGGTGGGTGGGCGGCTCTGTCCGGTCAGCTCTTCACCGACTTTCAGCTCCTCGGAGGCCGCGGGCCGCTGCAGGTAAACAACAACAACAACAACAAACTCCACCGTCTTCTCCGCCTGCTGAGCTCCGCCCACAGTGACGTCACCGCGGCACGTACCATTCTGTCTGTGAAGGAGGGGCACCTGCAGAGTTTTACCTCCAAATATTTCAAATAAAAACACGAATAAATGTCAAAGTTTTACATAATCTTAATTAATGTGTGAAAAGTGTTCACCTGCAGTCAGGACTTGTATTTTAGGAGACAGGAAGTGTGAATTTCTCAGGCTGTGGATGTGACGTCACACAGCGGAACATAAACTCACCCAGTCTGGATTTAAAGCTCTTTACTTCTGAACAAACATCATATTTTATAAAAACAAGACCAAAACCATTCAACTCAACAACTGATAAAACCATGCTGGGAACAATGGAAAAAACAAATAAAAMGTTTTGGTTGGGAAATAAACCAGAAAAGTGTAGAAAATCAGATAAACAAGATAAATATTTAAGTGGCTAACTATTTAGCTCAAAACTAAATATTTAAGTCAGTGTAGTATTACTATTATTACATGGTAAATGAAAGTACTTTTAAGTGTTCAGACAGTTTTATTGAAACTAAGAACACGTGCACTAATTTACACTAAATTAAATACTAATATCCAAAATCTAAACCCAATTATTTTATGAGTTTTATATAAATACGGCCAGAAGAAGACAGACAGCTGGATGAAACAAAGGTGTTTTATTGACTTGCTGAAATAAAAAGTAATTTTTATTTGATCAGAAAAATAAAAGATTACATTAAAAAAACTGAGTTGTTTGTTTTTTGGCCACTAGATGTCAGTAGAAACTGCATGTAGAGTTTGATTTCAGCTTTAAACATCAAACCTCATCATTCTGCAGTAAAATAATGAGGCTCTACTTCCTGCTTCCTGTGTGGTTTTCCTTTGTGGGCGGGGCTTTAATCTGGTTGTCAGGTGGCAGTGGTTTCCCCAGGTGATGCCCGGTGGTGATGCCGAACGGCTGCAAGTCTCGCTCGCTCCTCGCCTCCGGCCGCAGGAGGAACCCCCCCTGGAAGCTGAGGTCGAACAGCTCGCAGCGGGCGAAGGTCAAAGGTCGCTCGTCCTGCAGCGCCCGCAGCCGTGCACGCCATCCTGCCAGCATCTGGGTGCGCACGGCGGCGGGACAGTGGGCCGGACCCCAGAAGATCTGAGGAGCCAGGACCTGGAATCCACAGAAGTGTAGAGTGCCGTTCTGACAAACAAACAAACAAACAAACACACAAACAAACAAACAAACAAACAAACAAACAAACTTCTTATTACAACAGCCTGATGTTGGACATTTTGGAGAAATTCTGCTTCGATTTCTGTTGAAAACTCATGAGTCACCGTGAGTTTGTCTTTGTAGGAAAATAATTTCATGTTTTCACTAAAGTCATTTTCTGGAGCACCTCCCACATCTCACCTGCAGAGGCCACAGAGTGACGTTAATGTCTCCGTTTATACCGTCAGGCTGAAACATCGACTGTGTCGCTGCAGTGGTGAAGGACAGCATGGCCTTTTTTTCCTTTAAAACAGGAACAACATCATTAATACAGAAAACAAACAAAAAACATCATAAATATAGAAGATTTAACCTGTTAAACTAAATAAAAACACAAAAAACATCATTAATGCAGCATTTTTAACCTGTGAAATGGGTTAAAAATGCAAAAAACATCATAAATACAGAAGATTTAACCTGTTAAACTAAATAAAAATACAAAAAACATCACTAATGCAGCATTTTTAACCCTTTAAGCCCACAAGATTTTAGAAGATTTCCTTCAGTTCTCCTGCCGGGCCTGTACCAGGTCCAACAGAGCTTAAAAGGTTAACCTGTTAAACTGGATAAAAACACAAAAAAACATCACTAATGCAGCATTTTTTACCCGTTAAATGGGTTAAAAATGCAAAAAACATCATAAATACAGAATATTTAACCTGTTAAAATGGGTGAAAACACAAAAAACATCACTAATGCAAAATATTTAAACTTTTGAAGACAGTTAATGTTCAAATCTTCAAAGTGAAAATGATAAAAAGAGAAACATAGAAATGCTGCTTGTCTCCAAACCTGACGTCATTTAGGAAAGATGTTTAATGCTGACTCAGCAATAAACATAACATGCACATGGCCCACCACCTTTCCAAAGGTTCAGATCATCATACTGAGACATTAATTAGAAAACATTAACTATAAAACTTGAACATTATTTCAGGATCATCCTGAGATCACGAGCGGTTCCACAGACTCGACTTGATTTGTCTCTAATTGGGACAAAATCCTGTTTTTAGCTTGTTCTAATGAGGATGTTTTTGATGGCTTTTGAAAGAGGAAACCTCAAATTAAATTTGAACAAAGGGATTTCCCAACTGGAAAGAAGAAAAGCTTAGTCAGCGCGCCTCGCAGAGAAACAAGAACAACTGAAGCTTTTCTGCTCAAAACCAGAGTATTTGTTGTTAAAAAGTGCTTTAAARCTTTGTTTAGAACATTTCCCATAAAAAGGTGTTTATTAACCTTATTTGCAGAATGTAGTTATTAAATGTTAAAGCAGTTTTATCTCCATTAACCCTGGCTGGATGGAGGAGTTTATTTCATTTCCATCAGTCTGACCTTGAAAACTCCCGAGTCGTAGATCTTCTGCAGGCTGAAGGCGAAACCCTGAGTGAGCACTCGGTCCATCCAGCCCTTCAGGACGGCCGGGACGCTGAACCAGTACAGAGGAAACTACACAGGAACACACAAACAGCCCTTTAACACGGTCTGAGCCCACCTGCTGCTCAGCTGAGGGTCCGAATGGAGCTGAGGATCAGCAGACTGCCCCCCCCCCCTTATAAACCCTAACAGCCTCAGACTTCATTGTGCTCTGTCCTTTTTAAGAACAGAAAAGATTTGTTTTGTTTAGAGACAGTAAACTATCAGAATCCAACATTAGGAATCAGAAATCACCTGTTTTCTGTGTAAAATAATCTCAACAGACTATTAACTGTAAAGATATATTTAATATATCTTTATATATTTGTTGGTATATATCTGTTACAGTGGGAACAC